CGTACTATACGCTCCCCCCCCCCTCCCTCCACTCGACAGCAAAATTTTTGGGGAAAAGTAGGGAACTTTTCGTCGAGAAATTTTGGAAAAAAGTGGCAGGAAGTTGGGGGAAAAGCTGAAAATTGGTAGAGGGGGGGTCGACTTCTCTTACCCCCGCCCCCGCTCGACGACTCGATTCGATGAGGAGGGACAGAGGGCCGGAGGGGGTGGTCGTACCAAAAAAGGAGGGTCGTATAGACTCGACTAAAATCCCCAACCAATGATGTGCCCTGTTCACAAGATTACACAATTCTCCACGTGACGGCTCGACCCTTCGCTAGGGAGTAGCAAAAGTAAATGTGCCCCCCCCCAAAGTCCAACTGTGCCTACGTTTTTTATTTATTAGGATTCCTCTGACGTCACAAATAAAAGTCTTAGAATTGTATGTTTCTCGTATGGTTGAGCGGCACTTTGGGGGGGGCATTGAGGATTTTTCAATTGTTCTTCTTGAGGGAATAAATGCTACCATTTTGTGCGAAATTTCATGTAGACCGCGTCGTAGCCGCTCATGTTCCTGCACTCCCCTGCACATAGTTGGGAAGACAGTAGAGAGCAGTTTGAGTCTTCGTTTTCCTTTTCCATTGTTTGTTATTTTTTCGCGCAAATATATCCATGCAGCAAAACACGCCTCATATCCCAGAGCTGAGGAGGGCGTGGCCGCGCGCTTCAATTGAGTGTGGCGTAGAAGGGATATTTCCACTCGAGACAACTGCCATCTTCTCTTGTGGTACAAAATGAAAATATCTGACCAGAAGCGCAGTCGCTTCTCCTCAACCTAGGATACAAGAGTTTATCCCTATCGAATCCCTCTCCCGCCATGACTAAAATCCTCTGTTTCAACTTATCTACCACGACAAAAAATTCGAATTTAAATCACATTCGTCGAACTTCTCGCCTCAATTCGAAATAGGTTTCGCTTCATGTTTCGCCATTTCCTTCTCGAGCTGGAGCACTGCCAAACCGGGTCGTAACGTCAGATTACCGTAAGCCCGTGCGAGTCCCGTAGTAATAAAAACCAAGCCGACTTCGGTAACGATTTCGAGGCCAGCCGCACCATCACCTGAAGGAAGAGAGTTTCTGAAGGGTTTATACTCTATGTCGGCACCAGTGAGTTTCGTTGTGGTGTGCGCCATGCATCTATCACTGCACATTGGATAGGAGTGATTGATTGTTCATCTAGTTTCACACAACTTATGATGCGGGTTCTTAAGACAGCGAGCACGATGGCTGAGGTCGGGCGGTTATGGTCAACGTAACTGGTGAAAGGGCAGAGCGGGGTGTGGACAAACACCCTCTCGCACCCCCTCTACCAAGTACATTGGCGAACGGCTCGCCCCCAGCCATTGTGCCCACTGCCTTTGAGCAATGACTTTTCTTCCTCTATTTCCGAGATTCTAATTGTCATTAGGTTAAGTTCGAGATTTTTCCGAAGAGATTCACCGAATATGGACTGCGCACCCCTCCCAGAGGTCCCAGAGGCAGATCCCGCCATTATCATGAGAGGCAGAGGTGCACGTACTAAGGCAGCGTTCAGACTTCGCGACGGCAGCGCTTCGGTCGCGCGTTCGACGCGATCAATGCAGTCGAAAGCATGCGCATCGATCGCGCGAACGCGCGACCGAGGCGCTGCCGTCGCGAAGTCTGAACGCTGTCTGAGAGGATGGGACTTCTCGTAAGAGGGCAAAGGGGATCACTTTGAGAGAAACCTTCAAGGAATGCACTCCCGAGTTCAATCTATATTCAGCACAAACGACTTCATAACAGACTGTCAAATCAAATGGTAATAAAAGCTATAGACCCGCTACGCGATAATAGCTTAGGTGGAGAAAGAACTATCGCGCCTACCCCGTTGGTCTGTTTCTCCTTCTGATACGATGGAGGAGGGGCGCGCCAAGGAGAAAGGCACAGCAGGCATGAGTCTCCGCCCATTTTCCAGCCACCTGACCACTAAGAAATGTGTCTTTAAGTTTAGAATCGATGTCAGCAGCGGTTTGCTAGAGCAAAACAATGCTTACAGGCAGCTAGCACAAATCCTAAGAAGAGTAAGACTAAAACGCCCAGCACTACGGAATTTCGCGACTCCGAACAGGTGCTGCGTAGCAAGGGAGGTAGCTTTGTAAGGGCCCTACCAAGTTACAACATGCCGACCCGAACGCTCACTGCGCCCGCCCGCCCACAAATGGAAGAGATGAGTAGGATTAATACGCCTGGCAGGACGGGATTCCGCGCCCTTGAGCAGGCGCTGCGTAGCGCCTTTTCCAAGGAAAGTACCCTTATAAGGCCCTATCAAGCTACAACATACCGACCCGAACGCCCACCACGCCCGCCCGCCCACAAATGGACGACCGTTCCTGACGCTCGTATTGATTCATTTGCTAAGCAAATTATGAAGCGAAGGGATTGGTATGAAGCGGCTGCGGTGCTGCATGGATATATGAGTACACATATGCAGCGGTTACTGACAAGATGTCTATGAGAAACTCGTCCAAAATTGATTTTTAAGTCATTGAGAACGGAGGCTTTTTCTTCGCAGGTTTTTGACCGTTTCACTTCGTTTTTTCGCCATTTTCCACTATATGGCACCCTGCTAGCATTTCAGGCCAAGTACCAAAATATCGTGCCAACTGGCCTTACCCACACATGTGCTAAGCCACTTCAACAATTTAACGAGAGGTCAAAGAAGAGGAGCATTTGAAAGCTGGTGAATACAGTACGACATGAGAATATCAAATTTGTCAGACAACTCACTTATGCCACTGACAACCCGACAGGGTCCTGGAGTATGATTATAGACCCGTTTGTTGAGATCCAGCATAAGTCTGAAAAACGAACATGATTTGGGTGGTCAAAAGGTCCGCGCTGAGGCATTGCGCGAATGCCAGGGCACGTCCCACCGCTAGGGAACATTTTTGCAGAATACCACCCCCCCCTCCTAATTCCCTCCTCTGATATGACCCACTCTCCATCCTACTTACCTGCTACCACTTCCCCATTACTACCACTTTTTACTGAATTCCCAGCTTTTCTTCAGAAACCTCCCCGGCGAACAAAAAACGGGAGTGGGGGGAGGGAGTATACCACATGTGGAAAAACGTGCGAAGTCAACCACCGGAAAATTTTCTCGTGGAAACAAAGTTTTCTTGAGACCCGACTCAACTTGAAGCAACGAGCAAATAGACCCTCGACCGCCCCCATGCGAATCTCGCAATGATGAAGATAGCGCGTGCAGCACCTAACAAATCGTCTACTCAGAAAACGTCACGCGAGGCGATATTCGCAGCCAGGGATCTCCGATGGAACTGGTACATCTTGTCCATACAGTAAGCTAAGAAATGCCAGGTGGTTGATCACCGCAACGTGGACCTCATGACCTGATTCCATAGGAAACTTTCTAGACTCACATGAATCGGATTACTGTACTGGCAGCAAAAGAGGCCCAACATGAGGGCTCAAACAGCCACCGATGTGAAGGCATACCGGACAGCGAATTCGGCGGTCGCAGCATCTGGAGTTATAAACTCTTGAAGAGCGGATATGGAAAGGAAACAGAAAAGACGCGAAGAGACGCGAGCGGTTGCGTCACGCAGCTGAAGGCGCGTAGGAAAACATAACACTCAGGCAGATTTATGGCACAATCAGCGACAGTCAACACCAGCAAGCTCAAGGTCAACTTATCTTTTGTTTATGAACCATGTACTCGGAAAATTGTACTTTGAGGTATAGAAGCAGAGGGGGGGGGCATGAAAATAGGCGTGCTCTAACAAAACATAGAAACGCTACCCTCTACGGGAAATACTCGAGAATTTTCCCGCACTGCCATCTAACTAAATTCAACGGCTTAGCCGGTTCGCCCGAGCAGGTCAAATCACCACACCGCCTTCCCCCCCCCCCTTCTCCCTATAACGCTTCCACGTTTGATAAAGTGCTGATACTTCCTACATGGAATAAAAAGAGAACACAAAACAGGAATCTAGCGACCACTCTAATATGTACCAGTATAAGCCACAGGGCACATCAACCTCATTTGGGGATTTTGGTCGAGTCCGCACGGACCCCGCCCTACTGACTTGGAATACGACCCGCCCTAGTGTCCTTCTCCCACCGAGTGGGGGGAAGGGTGGGGAGGAGGCATAATAGCACATATGAAATGGGATTGGGGAAAACGCGACCCCTTCCTCATCCTACCTTCCATTTCTTAGATTTTCCTAGGTTCCTAACGCTGTTCCCGGAATCTCGCGAAAATTTTAAATTTTGCTGATCACCGCTGAGGGGGAGATATGTAGTACTCACCGAAACCAGGAAATCTCTGTCTCTAGAAGGCCGCTAGAGGTCACACCCTCCCCTTTTTATAGCATCCCGAAGCAAGAAAAATTGAATATAAAAAAAATTTCCTCAGTCTTAACACGGCCTCCCCCCTGTTGGGGAATCGCTAGCGACGATGTGCCCTGATGGCTCAATACAATCAATAAATCAATAAGCACATATGCACCGGATGGCAATCTCAGCACGGCACTCGTGAATCCTTTTGAAGAGAGGTTGAAACAGGAAAAAAAGGTTTTTCACTTTTCTCTTCTTCAGGCTGGGAAGCTTCCATGAGACCAGAATTCGTTCTGCAAACATGAAAAAATAATACTAAAATGGAGTTCATTGGTAAGCGGGGAGCGGCGTGCAGTACTGCTAGGATGCGCCATGCATTGGAAATTCGTCCGAAATCGGAGAGGCGTTGACGGTATACATTGTTTCGCAGAAGAACTATTGCCTTCTTCATCCCTGCTCGCGGAATAACAGTGAGTAAAATTAATAATTGAACTAAAATAAATGAAATCAACAGGGAAGAGGCGATCAACGCGACGATAAACATGCTTGTATATATTCCGGATTCTTCCACCTTTTGATATGACAGATATGAAGTAATGTTAGGCGCTAATACCTTGGAGGGGGCTATCACAAAATCGTTGGGTTGCGAACAAGGGTTTTAACTCTAGGCGGGACTTGATCTGACATCACTCTTTCCGTAAGAGGGCGCTATCCGTTGCGTCATCAGGGTATCTCAGTTCGACAGTTTTTAAACTGTAACCTTAGAGCGCCCCACATCTGAAGATGCGGCTGACCATCTAGTCAAGCTGATAGGGGCAAGAGCGGCCCTGATCTAAGTGACGGCGCACTCCTCCGCAAAATGTGAGGTGCGTTTTCAAGTCCGCCTTGGGTCAAGACTTTTGCACCTTTTGTCCTTGTGGTCCTTTTCGCAGCGGAACGGCAGTTGCGGCATTAAACAACAGTTATCATAATAAAACAATTCAAAAACTTGGAGAGGCATTTGGAGGGCTCCTTGTACAACACTGGGATCGTAATCGTAAAAAATTTGAGGGCAGTTCGGTGACTGGGAGGGGCATTTGCATTTTTGCCGTTTCCCGTTGGCGTGTCGACCCATCTAGAGAGCCATTTCGTGAGCTTACAGGTTTCACCACGGTGGCTCGGCGAGCTTGCTCCAGCTTCACAAGAGTTCACAGGTTTCACCAGAGTAAGACGTGTAAACCGGAAGTCGGGAAGCAGCGATAAGTACAAAATGTCCCCCCCCGTCGCCGAACTGCGCCAAACTTTTGCTCATATACGAAGCTATGGGATGGGATGGGTGAAGTAATTTCTAGTATGGTAGCCCCTTCAGCTCCACCAAAATCCCATTTTCGCCCAGAAAGCCTTTCCAAATCCTGATTTTGCCCAAGATGCTCCAATGTCCCTAATAGTCATTAGCGCTAAATATTCTAATTGTACTGGTTTTCTACCTAAAAGAGAAGGAAAATTCAAGGGGCGTGGTCGTCCCAGTGGGCGTGTGCGTTGACATAGACACTGAGCGACTATTTTCTATTCATTGGTGAAGGTCGAATTAAGGTACCCATGAAAATGCTGCCATAAGTAACCCGTGAAGGTACAGATCCGCTTCAATTGTTTGTCGCAGTCAGCTTATTCCTGGGAAACGTCTATAGCCCAAGGCCAGATATGGTTCATCCAAGCGACGGCCAACTACGATACGGAGTAATAAAATAAAAGCGTAAAAAAGTGCGAGAGCGAAACGATACAGGAAATAATTCCGAGCTCAAAGAGCCCCGAAAACGATTCGATTCCAAAAACAAAATCAAATTTTGAAAAAAAAATTCGGCGTAGTCCGACCTACTGGGGGCATTTCGCTGGTCCATTGATCATTCGATATCTCCTGTGGAGACGTTCAAATTCCTGTGAAGCAATTATATTTGAGAGACGTCTGCAGGTCTCGCCAAGGTAGGACGCGGCAAGGCAGGAACACAGCAAGCACATAGCGAAAGTGCAAAATACCCGTTCAAAACCGAATAGCACCGAAAATTAGATCTAATTGCGAAAACTGCCACAAAAAAACGACGGAATAACTCAAAAGCTGAAGCATCTAAGGTCTTAATTTCGGGCCGGTTATCCTTTCCAAGGAACCTGAAGGTTGTGAACAGAAGCTGCCGCCGGGCTGGCTACTGCTAAGCGGGTCCAGCGCTATTGATCGGAAGCAGTTAGGCAGGGCGAACAGATGTTCGGCGGGTTGGAGACTGGGTGGGAAGGCTGTTGGGCCTTGGCGGCTCCATTTATCTGTTGTCTTCTGGGCTACCCATAGAATATTCTAATAGGCTCCTTGGGCTAGATGGGAAGACTGCGAAAATAGGGTTTTCGGCAGCAAACGGAAGCAAGCTTCGCCTAAAGGAATAAACGTACAAAATTACATCTTGGAGCAGAACTATTTCTTTAAAAATAAACTGAATCTAATAAATAAGGAATTTTTGGCTTGAACTTCATGCTGATAATTACTATAATAGTGGTTATTGTATCATTTAGTTCTAATCCCAAAGAAAAAGGAGTTTATCAACAGTAGGATTTAATGGCAAGTGGCACGATTAATTCCCGATCAAGACGTGTGGGGTTAGTACACCTAGGAAGACAGAATTTGGTACTTGAGCAGCGTGGCGTCTTTTCCGAGGAAGGTAACCCTACAGCGCCCCCACATCCCGACCAGTACGTCCATCGCGCCTGCCCGCCCACAAATGTCCGACCGATCTGGATGCTCCTATCGCTTCATTTGCGAAGTACAATATGAAGTGAAGGGGTTGATATGAAGCGGCTGCGATGCTGCATGGATATATGAGTACATACATGCAGCCGTATCTACCGTAGCGGTTATTGGCACGATGCCAACGGGAAACTCGTCCGAAATCGCTTTCTGAGTCGTGTAGAACGAGGTTCTTTTCTTAGGTTTTTGACCGTTTCACTTCGTTTTTTCGCCAGTTTCCACTTTATAGCACCCTGCTGCCTTTGTAGACCGAGTAGTAAATCATCGTGCCTTATGCCTTTGAAGCCCCTTTCGCAATGATCGAGTGGGCGGAGACAGAGAACTATCGTGTCTTGCTTGCTGGACTGCCCAATCGCATTATTATTATTATTATTATTATTATTATTATTATTATTATTATTATTATTATTATTATTATTATTATTATTATTATTATTATTATTATTATTATTATTATTATTATTATTATTATTATTATTATTATTATTATTATTATTATTATTATTATTATTATATGCACTGCATATCATCTTCCAGCAGGCAGGTTTGTGAAGGCATTTGACTTATAATTTGGCCTAGTCAATGTCAAGTAAATGTTGAATCCTCCTAGACAGATTTGCTACCAGTCCTAGTCGGCAAAGAAGGGGTGAAAGCGTTTTACCTTGCCGGGAGCTTGATCCAGCAGCTTTGAGCCGTGAGCAAAGGGTGTCGAAGTGCTAACTTGGCCCACTACATCAGCTCAGTGTTTTGGACTTCAGTTACTTCTAGCGTTAAAGAATTGCACTAATTCCGCTGGAAGGCCTATTTCTCCTCTCCTCCCCCCATTCGCTTCCCCCTCCCCCCATCCCGCTGCTCTAGCCCAAGTTTGGAATTGAGCTGAAGAGCTAACAGCTATTTCAACATTAGGTCACACCTATAACTATCTGATCCGGCTCAGTAACCGCTAGCCGTCTCGCTATAAGAGGGAAAGGGAGCAACGGTAGGGACTCCTTCTCTTTTTGAACAGTCCAGACTTGAATCCTGGGCGGAGTCAGTCAAGACCAACCAAGCCTCCAATCCAGGGCACTTCTGGAGAGAATTTCTACAAAATATGGCCCAAAATCCCCCTCTGGTACTCCACTATCCCACCCTTCTCTATCCTAGCTATCATAGCTAAGTTTTCCCAACACTTCCTAACCACTCTACCAGTCCTTAAACTTGTTTTTAATGGCCTTGAGGATTCCAACTCGCTAGCGTGCCCTGATTCGCACCCTTCGGCGAGTTTATTTTTCAAAAGCAGGGTCCTCCGGTAGGCAAGGAGTCTCTTGTTTCGTCAACTGCCGCTCGCAAAAATTGTATATGCCAGAGAAATGTACTCGGCTTGTCAGTGCGATTCCAGGTGGAGGCCAGATGCATGGCGCAACCTGGAAAGTATTGGCGAA